CAGTAAGGTCAAATACTAAGTTTTAAAATAAGTAGCTACACTTGTAAAAAAGACATAGATTCTAAGGACAGGGTTGGATAACCCTGACTGGGATAACCATTTAACAGTTTATTTCCCCCAATTCAAAGCAGGACTGACAAGCTGGAAGACTACATTCTCTCCTCTATGCACTGTTTATTGATTTTTTTTCCCCTAGCATTTTTGAGTTTCTTGTTGATGAGGGTTTTTTAGCAGGGAAACTGGATTAACTATAAGGTAGTATTACATTTTCAGGCAAAATTCTGGTGTGGTTATAAATTTTATTATACATATATATGGTTAGTTCTCTCTTAGTTGGTCTTGCAGAAAACTGATAGGTTTCTCACAAGATTTTGAAATGATTTCAAATTTGAGACAAAAGAAAGTACAAGGGGGGAACCCCCCCAAACTGGAATTATCTTCTGGAGGGCAGGCCCCTTGAAGTACAGGTTTCCCCTGCTAGATGAATGTTCTAGGAACACATCTGTATCAGTGTACACAGTGGTGGTGTTGTGAGAGGCTGCGTTTGACTTTATAATGGGGATATATGAGCACACCAGCCCTCACCTAGCTGTGGTCAGCAGTTTTTGATCTAAAAGGGTATTACCCCCGTGCCCCACCCTCCCTATTTACCCAATCATACCCTAGAAACCTTTTTTTGTTTCCTGGGATGAAAAAGTCCTTAAAGGGAGACGTTTGGCAATGTGGAAGCGGTGAAACAAAAACGGCAGAACCACTCAGAGGAATCGAAATGGACGAGTTCAAGAACTGTTTTGAGCAGTAGAAAAAAACATCTCGATAGGTATATTGCATCATATGGAGAGTACTTTGAAGGTGACTTAAGTTTAAACATGTAAGATTAAATATACACTTTTTTATAAATAAATTGTTTTTTTGGGTACCCCCCTCCTAGATGAATTTAGAGATGAACCCCATAAAATGAATAAAAGAAACATGGCCATTACATCAAGCTCTTATATCATATGTCTTGCTAAGCACTTTACATCATTATATTATTTAATCTTAACTACCCTATGAAGAAGGTATTATTATCCCCGTTTTACAGAGAAGTAAACAGTGGCTTAGGACAGTTAAAGTAATTTGTCTAAGACAACACAGCAAACAATAGGTGGCAGCATCAAGATTCTAATCCTGGCCTGCCTGCAAAAACGCTTAACCCCTGTTATTAACTGCCATATTTCACAGATTCCATGATGCATTTTAACTGCATGTACCACTAAGAATAACAACACAAACACTGACGATTATAATTGTGCCATCTGAAATAAGACTGATCCAGATGTTAACTTGTGAAGAAAAGATGGTCGGAGGTGGTTACTGTGCCAGAATCAATGACACACAATATCATCTATACTGCTACAGGTACAGTACCTTTCTGAATGAAGAAAATTATGTACGCGCTGAATGAGGAATGGGATACCACTTAATTCTAGGACACTGTAGGAAACAGCTCCCTTAGGCCATGCTAAAATATTACTTTTCTAATGCTTAATCATATTCAGAATGTGTTTTCAGATTAAATCACTTTATATCTTCCCAGTTGTCACCTCACTGGATGCTGGTAACTACGCATTGCTATTAACTTTAAATTAGAGCTATTCAGAGGCACGAAGATAAAGACTCAGCTTGTCTAGTCTAAGGACTCAAAGGTATGAATTAAAGTAGGAGCTGAATTCTCTATTCATACCAGTAGCTCGACCTCAAGGAGCTGTGAAATTCTTCTCTTACTCTCTTTTTATTCAATGTCAGGTTCCAGAGATTTGGTTTATTTTTATTACTGCCAACTACTTATTATAATTGGTCTTTTTCACTCCCTCAGGCTAACTGTGAAATGAAGTTTTCTAAGTTTCTAAGTGTTTTTCCAACAATCTCCATGCACACCTCCCTTTTCAAGTATTTTATTGTCTTCTTTTCTTAAAGATACTAACATTACAGAAGAGACAGGAAATAAACCTTAGGAAAGTCAAAACAGTTCATCAAAGGTGAATTGCTCAGGAATCCCTTTTTATTTCTAGAGTCACTTTGTATTTGTAGGTAGCAGTTGGGTTCATTACCACTGTACACTCAATGCTCTATGCCAACTACAGACATCCTGATGACTTTAATAGCAAGGAACAAACACAAATGAACTATCTAAACTATCTAACTAAAGGCTAGTCACACTTCTGAGGGATTTAAATGAACAAATACATGTAAGGCACAATATGAAATATATAAAAGAAAAATGGTCCCTGTGTTCCCTTTGGCTATGTTCTAGTTAGCATGGGAGCAGAGAGAGTGGAGGGATACAGACACATACACAGAGCCATATGGTGCAGTTAAGATTGGGGATCTGTGTAATACAGCATATAGTGTGATGATAGGATACAGCATAAAGTATGATGACAGAGGAGAGAGTACTATATATCTACTTTTGAAAATCTGGAAATGAAATATAAGTTAAGTCTTGTATTTTATTCAAACACCTTATTTTAGATCTGGTCAGGGAGAACCCGGTATGTGAGATACACTAAACAAAGGACCCCAATTCTCCACCTCTAGATTTTTACTATTCCAGTAGAGGTAAACACTGGGAATGAAGCCTAGATAGAAAGACAAGTATCAGGTCAAGAGGCCTTGTTAAGAAACGTGAAGAAGAACACATTTCACCTTAAAAGCAACAGAGAGCCACTGAAGAGTTTTAATAATAGATTAAAGTTTCAGAAAGATGACTTTGGATGCATTGTAGAGACTGGATTGGAAAGGTAGAAAAAGAGATGGGGAGATGAGTTAAGAAAGCTGGTGTGGTAATTCCAGGCAAACAATGATGGTGGCTTGAATTTAGGTACTACCTAAGTGGAGAAAGAGTTAAGTGGATTCACTTGGAGATTTTTTAAGGGTTTGATGAACAACTGGATTCAGAGAGGGAGAGAAAAAATAATTTAAAATGAGAAATTTTGGCTTAGGCAATTGTGAAGTTGGCAATGTCGACCATTTAGATTCTGATAATTCATAGGGTAAACCAAGAAGCTATTTCTAAGAAGAGAGATGTTGGCTTGAATAAGTAGATGGACTTGAGAGACATTTAGTAAGTAAAACCAAGTAAGACTTGGTAATTGCCTGGATGTGAGGTATATATGGAAATGAAGGAGTCAAAGGTTTCTGGCTTAAATTGGTGGATAGTCACCGTGGTAGACTGCATAATGAACAAAAGTTCCTTTTATCCTGTTGTGTACATTTCTTTGCAATGTGACTGTGTCGCTCCTCCCATGCAGGGATGGAGTCTATTTGCCCAGCCTTGAAATCTAGACTACTCTTGGGATTTGCTTTGACAAATATTGTGAGGTGGAAGTGACCTATGTGATTTCTAAGGCTGGGCTGTAGGAGGCATTACAGCTTTTGCTCTTTATCAGTGCTGCCCTGAGACTGCCACGGAAAGAAGTTGGTCTGGGCTATTGGAGGATGAGAGGGCACATGGAAGTGAACCAAGCACGCTACCTTAGCTGACAGTAAGGACCAACTAAAAATGATGCCATTTTGGACCTTTCCATCCAGCTAACCTACTAGCAACAACACAGCTGCATAAATGAGACTAGAAGAAATCAACAAAGAAACTGCTCAGCAGAACCACAGAATCATGAGAAGTCATTACTTTAAGCCATTAAGTTTTGGGGTGGTTATAAAGCCATTGATAATGAAACACAGAGACAGTGAAATCAGGAGGTAACTTGAAATGTTATTCCTTTTTATCTTCACATGCTGGTGAACTCAAATCACCTAACATTTGCGAAAAAATAAAAGTAAAAAAATAAAAAATAAAAAGAGAGGAAACATCCTGAAAAGAAAGTTTCTAAGGCACCAAATACCCGAATAATGAAGTACTGTGACACTAACTAGAGAAGTAAAGAATCCCCCTCTATGTATGGCTGCAAAAGCAGCCAGGCAGGATCTTCAAACTCCTTGATAAAAGAAGAGCAGAGGTATTTATAGGGGCCTTCAGGTATAGGCCCTAACTCCATCAAACCTTGGATAAATCAATTATACCCCAGATCTCCTAGGAGATAACTTTCCAGCAGGCTCCGTGAGAAGATTATCTGAAGAATCAAGCTGATAAAAGTGTGATCGCAGCAGAGTGCCTATTTAAAGTTTTATTCACATAGCAAAAGATAGATTGCAAGTTTTTTAGAAAGAATTAACCAATATTAATTTGTTTATGGGTGAATAAGAAAATAAGTCAAAATTAGCCGTTCCCCATTCAAAGATTAAGAAAGCATCTGCTCTGTTATTGGAAAAAAACGAAATACTCTAAAAAAAAAAAACAACCAAACTTGGTCAACACTGCCTAATTTTAAACGAGATGAAGACTATCATTTTAGAAAATCAATTTCAAAAATAAGATATGCGTTAGTATAGAGTAGCTACTTTTATTGCAACAACGCTGTTTAACAAAACAAATAACACTGAAGTATACCCAGGTATGTGAATGCTGGAGAACGGTAGTAAAGGACTAATAGCGAATTAAGGGAACACTAATAATTGAGAGAAAAGAGTAACTATGAAGTGTAGCCTGCACCAAAGACTTGAGGGCTTTTCTAAGATTTGGGAACCTGACACACAACGGTTTTATTTCAGCCCATTAAAAAGCAACTTTCACTCCTTTCCAAGATTTAATGCCTTCCTTCCAGTCCTCCCCGTGCACCCTGTGATTGACAGATTGCTTTCAGCTAGAGAGCTGCAAGAGCAGATAAGTACTTAAGATCTCTGAAGTCAAGAGAAAGAACCGTTAGAAATCCCGAGCGGGGAAGGATAAGCATCAAACGCGGAAGTAAGCCACGTCGCATTCCGGCCGCAGCAGTGGCTAAGGAAACCCAGTCCTTCTACCCTTTTAAGTGTGGCTCCCAAATGGGTCCGAATGACCCGTTTTCCTCAGCGCATTCCCTCCCACTAGCTCTGGGGCTACTGCGGAGGTGACCTCCACTCACCGCTTGAAGAACAGTTGCCAACAGCAACCGTAGCCCAAACGTCGGCCCAAGCCGTCCACCCGGCCCAGCTGCCATCGCTATCACTTTCCGCAGGTCTCTGAGTGCTCAAAGGACCCCTCAGGGAGGGGAGTCCACTGCAAAGCCTGATCTAAAACAGGCTGCTAAAGAGCGGTTACCATCAAATCTGTTAGTATGCAGAGACGAATTACCCAAGTGCATAGGAAAGCTTAAAGATGATCAAATATCTTTACATTTGATATAAATATAAATATAAAGCCCTGGGTCCTTTTGATAACCCACGTCAGGCACTTTCTTAAGCTCCCCAAGTGTTTTTCTGGGCTCATTCCTTTCATTCACGACATCTCTTTAAGCAGCCGAAAAGCCCCGCCTTCGTCAGTTTCGGCCAGCCTCTTTCTCCAAATTTACCCAATCGAATGCCGCATTCGGTTGGGTAAATTTGGAGAAAGAGGCTGGCCGAAACTGACGAAGGCGGGGCTTTTCGGCTGCTTAAAGAGATGTCGTGAATGAAAGGAATGAGCCCAGAAAAACACTTGGGGAGCTTAAGAAAGTGCCTGACGTGGGTTATCAAAAGGACCCAGGGCTTTATATTTATATTTATATCAAATGTAAAGATATTTGATCATCTTTAAGCTTTCCTATGCACTTGGGTAATTCGTCTCTGCATACTAACAGATTTGATGGTAACCGCTCTTTAGCAGCCTGTTTTAGATCAGGCTTTGCAGTGGACTCCCCTCCCTGAGGGGTCCTTTGAGCACTCAGAGACCTGCGGAAAGTGATAGCGATGGCAGCTGGGCCGGGTGGACGGCTTGGGCCGACGTTTGGGCTACGGTTGCTGTTGGCAACTGTTCTTCAAGCGGTGAGTGGAGGTCACCTCCGCAGTAGCCCCAGAGCTAGTGGGAGGGAATGCGCTGAGGAAAACGGGTCATTCGGACCCATTTGGGAGCCACACTTAAAAGGGTAGAAGGACTGGGTTTCCTTAGCCACTGCTGCGGCCGGAATGCGACGTGGCTTACTTCCGCGTTTGATGCTTATCCTTCCCCGCTCGGGATTTCTAACGGTTCTCTTGACTTCAGAGATCTTAAGTACTTATCTGCTCTTGCAGCTCTCTAGCTGAAAGCAATCTGTCAATCACAGGGTGCACGGGGAGGACTGGAAGGAAGGCATTAAATCTTGGAAAGGAGTGAAAGTTGCTTTTTAATGGGCTGAAATAAAACCGTTGTGTGTCAGGTTCCCAAATCTTAGAAAAGCCCTCAAGTCTTTGGTGCAGGCTACACTTCATAGTTACTCTTTTCTCTCAATTATTAGTGTTCCCTTAATTCGCTATTAGTCCTTTACTACCGTTCTCCAGCATTCACATACCTGGGTATACTTCAGTGTTATTTGTTTTGTTAAACAGCGTTGTTGCAATAAAAGTAGCTGCTCTATACTAACGCATATCTTATTTTTGAAATTGATTTTCTAAAATGATAGTCTTCATCTCGTTTAAAATTAGGCAGTGTTGACCAAGTTTGGTTGTTTTTTTTTTTTAGAGTATTTCGTTTTTTTTCCAATAACAGAGCAGATGCTTTCTTAATCTTTGAATGGGGAACGGCTAATTTTGACTTATTTTCTTATTCACCCATAAACAAATTAATATTGGTTAATTCTTTCTAAAAAACTTGCAATCTATCTTTTGCTATGTGAATAAAACTTTAAATAGGCACTCTGCTGCGATCACACTTTTATCAGCTTGATTCTTCAGATAATCTTCTCACGGAGCCTGCTGGAAAGTTATCTCCTAGGAGATCTGGGGTATAATTGATTTATCCAAGGTTTGATGGAGTTAGGGCCTATACCTGAAGGCCCCTATAAATACCTCTGCTCTTCTTTTATCAAGGAGTTTGAAGATCCTGCCTGGCTGCTTTTGCAGCCATACATAGAGGGGGATTCTTTACTTCTCTAGTTAGTGTCACAGTACTTCATTATTCGGGTATTTGGTGCCTTAGAAACTTTCTTTTCAAGATGTTTCCTCTCTTTTTATTTTTTATTTTTTTACTTTTATTTTTTCGCAAATGTTAGGTGATTTGAGTTCACCACCATGTGAAGATAAAAAGGAATAACATTTCAAGTTACCTCCTGATTTCACTGTCTCTGTGTTTCATTATCAATGGCTTTATAACCACCCCAAAACTTAATGGCTTAAAGTAATGACTTCTCATGATTCTGTGGTTCTGCTGAGCAGTTTCTTTGTTGATTTCTTCTAGTCTCATTTATGCAGCTGTGTTGTTGCTAGTAGGTTAGCTGGATGGAAAGGTCCAAAATGGCATCATTTTTAGTTGGTCCTACTGACAGCTAAGGTAGCGTGCTTGGTTCACTTCCATGTGCCCTCTCATCCTCCAATAGCCCAGACCAACTTCTTTCCGTGGCAGTCTCAGGGCAGCACTGATAAAGAGCAAAAGCTGTAATGCCTCCTACAGCCCAGCCTTAGAAATCACATAGGTCACTTCCACCTCACAATATTTGTCAAAGCAAATCCCAAGAGTAGTCTAGATTTCAAGGCTGGGCAAATAGACTCCATCCCTGCATGGGAGGAGCGACACAGTCACATTGCAAAGAAATGTACACAACAGGATAAAAGGAACTTTTGTTCATTATGCAGTCTACCACGGTGACTATCCACCAATTTAAGCCAGAAACCTTTGACTCCTTCATTTCCATATATACCTCACATCCAGGCAATTACCAAGTCTTACTTGGTTTTACTTACTAAATGTCTCTCAAGTCCATCTACTTATTCAAGCCAACATCTCTCTTCTTAGAAATAGCTTCTTGGTTTACCCTATGAATTATCAGAATCTAAATGGTCGACATTGCCAACTTCACAATTGCCTAAGCCAAAATTTCTCATTTTAAATTATTTTTTCTCTCCCTCTCTGAATCCAGTTGTTCATCAAACCCTTAAAAAATCTCCAAGTCAATCCACTTAACTCTTTCTCCACTTAGGTAGTACGTAAATTCAAGCCACCATCATTGTTTGCCTGGAATTACCACACCAGCTTTCTTAACTCATCTCCCCATCTCTTTTTCTACCTTTCCAATCCAGTCTCTACAATGCATCCAAAGTCATCTTTCTGAAACTTTAATCTATTATTAAAACTCTTCAGTGGCTCTCTGTTGCTTTTAAGGTGAAATGTGTTCTTCTTCACGTTTCTTAACAAGGCCTCTTGACCTGATACTTGTCTTTCTATCTAGGCTTCATTCCCAGTGTTTACCTCTACTGGAATAGTAAAAATCTAGAGGTGGAGAATTGGGGTCCTTTGTTTAGTGTATCTCACATACCGTGTTCTCCCTGACCAGATCTAAAATAAGGTGTTTGAATAAAATACAAGACTTAACTTATATTTCATTTCCAGATTTTCAAAAGTAGATATATAGTACTCTCTCCTCTGTCATCATACTTTATGCTGTATCCTATCATCACACTATATGCTGTATTACACAGATCCCCAATCTTAACTGCACCATATGGCTCTGTGTATGTGTCTGTATCCCTCCACTCTCTCTGCTCCCATGCTAACTAGAAATAGCCAAAGGGAACACAGGGACCATTTTTCTTTTATATATTTCATATTGTGCCTTACATGTATTTGTTCATTTAAATCCCTCAGAAGTGTGACTAGCCTTTAGTTAGATAGTTTAGATAGTTCATTTGTGTTTGTTCCTTGCTATTAAAGTCATCAGGATGTCTGTAGTTGGCATAGAGCATTGAGTGTACAGTGGTAATGAACCCAACTGCTACCTACAAATACAAAGTGACTCTAGAAATAAAAAGGGATTCCTGAGCAATTCACCTTTGATGGACTGTTTTGACTTTCCTAAGGTTTATTTCCTGTCTCTTCTGTAATGTTAGTATCTTTAAGAAAAGAAGACAATAAAATACTTGAAAAGGGAGGTGTGCATGGAGATTGTTGGAAAAACACTTAGAAACTTAGAAAACTTCATTTCACAGTTAGCCTGAGGGAGTGAAAAAGACCAATTATAATAAGTAGTTGGCAGTAATAAAAATAAACCAAATCTCTGGAACCTGACATTGAATAAAAAGAGAGTAAGAGAAGAATTTCACAGCTCCTTGAGGTCGAGCTACTGGTATGAATAGAGAATTCAGCTCCTACTTTAATTCATACCTTTGAGTCCTTAGACTAGACAAGCTGAGTCTTTATCTTCGTGCCTCTGAATAGCTCTAATTTAAAGTTAATAGCAATGCGTAGTTATCAGCATCCAGTGAGGTGACAACTGGGAAGATATAAAGTGATTTAATCTGAAAATACATTCTGAATATGATTAAGCATTAGAAAAGTAATATTTTAGCATGGCCTAAGGGAGCTGTTTCCTACAGTGTCCTAGAATTAAGTGGTATCCCATTCCTCATTCAGCGCGTACATAATTTTCTTCATTCAGAAAGGTACTGTACCTGTAGCAGTATAGATGATATTGTGTGTCATTGATTCTGGCACAGTAACCACCTCCGACCATCTTTTCTTCACAAGTTAACATCTGGATCAGTCTTATTTCAGATGGCACAATTATAATCGTCAGTGTTTGTGTTGTTATTCTTAGTGGTACATGCAGTTAAAATGCATCATGGAATCTGTGAAATATGGCAGTTAATAACAGGGGTTAAGCGTTTTGCAGGCAGGCCAGGATTAGAATCTTGATGCTGCCACCTATTGTTTGCTGTGTTGTCTTAGACAAATTACTTTAACTGTCCTAAGCCACTGTTTACTTCTCTGTAAAACGGGGATAATAATACCTTCTTCATAGGGTAGTTAAGATTAAATAATATAATGATGTAAAGTGCTTAGCAAGACATATGATATAAGAGCTTGATGTAATGGCCATGTTTCTTTTATTCATTTTATGGGGTTCATCTCTAAATTCATCTAGGAAGGGGGGTACCCAAAAAAACAATTTATTTATAAAAAAGTGTATATTTAATCTTACATGTTTAAACTTAAGTCACCTTCAAAGTACTCTCCATATGATGCAATATACCTATCGAGATGTTTTTTTCTACTGCTCAAAACAGTTCTTGAACTCGTCC